TGCAGAGTTGGTGCGACACAAACCTATGCAGGCATTTTTCTATCTTCCAGGTCATCGCAGCCTCACACGAGTGTGTGCAGGGCCGAGCTGCCCGGCACTTTTGCCTCCATCTCTCCTGCGGCACCTGGGGACATGACTCAAGCCTGAGTCACAGCATGGCCAGAAGACGGCAATGCGTCACTCCCAAGAGGTAACGCAAGACACGAGAGCGTCCCAGCCAGGCCGCCTGCACGGAGCTGAGGAAACGCGTGCTGCAGCACGCAGACCTGGCTTCACTTTATGGCCTTCTTTCCACAGCTCTGAGAGCCTAGAACGACGATGTGGCACAGCAATATCGACTCCATCAATACCAAATAGCTACGATATAAGCTACCTTTACATTTCTAAGATTATGGACAAGTTTATTCCTTAGTTTATTTTCTTTTTCATAAAATAGGGTTGCCTTTTTTTGCAAAAACTGTGGAACGTTTTTAAAATCAATTTATAGAATGGGAGTAGAGAGAGGCAAATGTTAGCCAGCCAGGTACTGTAACTCCTGCAGGCACTGTCAGAGCAGGCAGATTTTCTCATACCGTACAACGTTCTGTAATCAGTACACAGGCCGTGCGACAGTTACACAACTTGCTGTAGTGTCCACAGGGGTAACACAGCCATGCCAACACAGAGCTTCGTTTAGTCTTTAGGTTCTTAAAGCAGGTTTCAGTGCTCGGGCTAGTGACCTTTATGAGGACACTAATAAATTTTCCCTTCTGCTAATGGAGAAAATCAGTTGATATGAAGTGAATTGCACACTTACTTGCCAATGAAAAACAGACTAGGAACCCAGCATGGTCATTCTTACCTACACCACCAGCTCTCTGGGAAGATAAGGCAGGAGGGCTGCAAGTTCAATCCCAGCTTGGGCAATTTAGTAACTGAGCAAGACCCTCACTTGCTCAAAATAAATTTAAAAAAAAACAGACTAAAAATTTAATTCATTGTGAAGGTCCTGGGGAAAAACGGAAAGGAAGGAGGGAGGCAGAGAGGGCCAGAGAGATGGAGATCAGCTGGCTTAGAATAGTTTCATGGTTGGAAAAGTTGTTACAGTTCATTACTGGGTGCAGAAGTCTAGTCTGCTGTTACATAAATGAGGACTGTCAATGTAAACATTTCAGTGGCATTTGGCATTTATTTGTCCTAAATATGCATATTCAGAGCTAAGATCACTCCCTATGAGTAGCTATCAGTTCGGCTTATCAAAAGCTCCAGAGTGTATTTAATTTTTTTTTAATGTGGTTAAAAATAACCTCATACGTGAAAATACAGAAAAAAAATTCTGAAGCATTTGATTTAAAGCACTGCAACACTGACTTCAAAACAGGCATGGACAAGGTAAAAAGTTAAAATTTAGGGCGAGAACTTCGGTCTCCATCAACATTTTTACATTCCTCCCTTGAGCCCCTTGCTAAGAACCACAGTGGTGCAGCGCAGACTGGGCACCGAGCGAGAAGAGAAGCTCAGTGCTTTCGGTAGGCACAAGCGTCAGAGCAAGAGAAAATTCCTAATCTTGTTTATCTGCTTTGATTTTGACAGCTCAGTGTTTGGAAAATCAAGGGAAGTATGGAAAGGCACTCTTATTCATTTTGTAATAATTTAAAGCAGTACAAGAGTCCCACACAGTGACGTTTGGCTGATGTCAAAACGGGGTAGGACAGGTCCCAAATTCCTCAACACAGAGCTACAGCCATCACCAGAGTGCCTTTGGTGGGCTCCGAACTCTCCCTCCGCTCCCCTACTCAGGTCTCAAGGGCTCTCACAGCCTGAATTCAGGCCTGAGCACGTGGGCATGGCTGTGCACCCAGAAAACTGCGGAATTTTGCAGGTCACAAAAGGTGTACATTTTTTCCATCCTTTACAAACCTCAGCACCATTAGCAGCTTGCAAGCCACACAAAACTGGTGGCAGACTGGCTGCAGCCTGCAGGATGCTGACTGCCAGCTCATGGTCCACACTTGGAGGACACACAAGTGAGGGAGTCCCCACTTTCTACTGGAAATGAAAGTTTAAGCACACGGACCCACACAGAGCCACGGGGGCTCACTGATCTCACCACCCACCTACTCTGAGAAACTCAAGGCCCAGCTTGCTTTGCAGGAGAGCAAGGGCCTTAGAATGTGTTTTCTAAAGGAGTCAGTCACGATGCACCTATCAATGGACAAGGAAGAGGGGATAAGAAGGCAGAGAGCAGGAGAAAACACTCCGAAACCAATCAGCACTTCAAACACAGGGCTGCCCTTACATAGCCACTCAGCCCTAAAATCCTCACACATCTCTCGGCACAGGGCAGGCAGGAAGCGTCGCTCTTCTCGGAAACACCGGGGTCCACAAAAACTTGCGGGTTCCGATGCTCGTGCATTCTGGGATATCTACAGATACCTCATGAAGCATCGTGGCCTTGTCAGGAGACTCTAAATCAAAACCCAAAATTCAGATTTGGACTGATTTCTAAGTTCACATTTGCACAATGAGGGGCGCTCAGCCACGGACGCGGATGCACAAGCGATGGCGCTCACTGCTGGCAACGTGGCATGGAGGACGTAGCTTCTCCTTCGGCTACGCGGGCACCCAGCAGACACAGGCCCACCTCCTCTCACCGCACACGGGGCTTCTGCTGGGGCTTCCAGATGCCGCACATGCCTTCCGTACAGCTGCACATTGTTTAGTAACATACGCTGCTGTAGCTTTTCTTCCCATGTGGGTAAGTTCCTAGAGAGACACAACCTTCTTACAGCCCTTTCTCTCCCAGTCATTACAGTGACTACAGTGTGGGAAGTGAATAGCGGAAAGAAGTACCAGTATTTGGGAGTCTACGTCACGGCAAAAATCAAATGGGATCAATGTTTCAAATGCTCACCCACACCCCCACACCCGCATGGGCAGAGGGACGAAGAGGGCACCAGCCCCTCCCTCCCTCCATGCTGCCACCCTCACCCAAAGCACCCCATGTCCAGGCAATGAGTCCCACCATCCGGGAAGCCACTGGTCAGGGTGCAGGGCTCATTTTTTGTGACCAGCAGAAATTAGCTGGAGCTGACAAAAATGGTAGAGGATAAAACATCTAGAGAACTTGCTTTAGCCATCAGCTGATCAACAGAAACTGAATAAAGTGGAATGCTGAAATTTCCCCAGGCAGAAGGCCTGCCAAGGCTGCGAGTTTGGGGACTGGTCCTCACCACATTTTGTGATAGCCTGGTCTACACCGGGAAGTCACGCTCTCTGCCTCAGAGTGGATGGCACAGCCAGAGACAGGGGAAGAAGAGAAGGACAAGATGGGGCCCAGAAAGATCGCTCTGATGTCGTTCAAGGGAGGTGGGGCATGTTGTGATTAAAAATTGAATCTGCAGAGGCTTAAGATTCTGCAGTATTCACGCTTGTCTTCCAAAGTGAATTTTTCCAAATCAGGCTTTTATCTCAAGGACTACAATGATGAAATCAACTACCTGATGTGAAAAATTACAAATCTGACGGCTGCGGATCTGGCTCATGGCAGAGTCCTTGTCTGCCAGGCACCAGGGCCTAGTTCCAATCCTTAGCACTGCAAGAAGGAAAAAAATCACAGGTCCTCTTCCTATAAGAAGACCATAAAACAAGTGTGTTTTGTGAAGCCCTCCTACCAGGACCAAATCTACTACCCCAGGACTAAATCTAGTACCTTCCCAAAAGATAGCAAAGCTACAGTGCTCGGACTCTTTTCTTACAAATGACAGGGGACCTTGACTTAGGATTGCAATTCGTTCCAAGGGCTGCTTGCAGCTCAAGCTGCCAACCGAAGACTTAGGCTCCTCTGCACGGCCTTCAGAGTTTCTCTTGTGTTTACAGGTACATCTCAGGGTCCTCAGGAACACACTGGCCTAGAGTTTCTCCATTAACCCCCTACACAAGAGGATGCTGCACTATTCCTTCCAGAACCCATTAAGGGTTAAATCAGTGTCCGAAGCCATCTGGAAATCCAACTGGCCAGAATTCAGGTATAACTCAAGCCTACAGTCATATGTTAAAATTAAAATTCCAGTCAAAATCCACATTATGACAGGCCAGTCATACCTCGAGGGCCCACTTTATAGGGAGTTACATGTGGGAAGAAGGGCTAGGAATGCAATGGGTGCCATAGCAAAGCTTAGTAAGAACAGCACCACACTCTCCCTATGTTTCAAAGTGACCTGCACAAGCTTCCTTATTAAACGTAATTACTGCTGCATTTGGTGCATTAATGAAAAGCTTTATATTCATTAAAAAGTATGAACTGTGTTGCACCTGAAATCCAAATCAGAATAAGATGCTTTACCCATGGAGCAGTTCATCAACCTGCAGAACTACAATCGTAAAGGGAAGCCTCCATCACAGCCTGGAAAGGGGTCCAGGACACAGTCGAGCCCCGCTATGATTAGAGATCCCTAGTCCCCATTTCCTGCTCTTCCTTCCAAGACAATTTGAATTCTTGCTGGTGTTTGAGAAAGATGTTTTCCACCCCGCAGAAGATTCGCTAAGCACCACCTAGGCATCACAATTCATTTCTTCTGAATGCTTCTAAGATTCTAGGCATCCCAGGAACAACGTGAGCCCCTGAGGTCAACTCCATGGCCCCTATCTGTGACAGGTGGAGGCCATTATTTGGGACCTCCCACTGCAGTTTCATATGTGCGACACACTGGCCAGAAAGCACATCCATCTCCCCTACCAGCCGCCAGGGAAAGGGTCAACAGGGCAGTGCCTATTAATCTAGCAAGGTGGGCCCAAAGATAAAGGAAGTAAACTGCAATTAAACTTTAAAGGCAGAGAGATGAAGTTAAGCGTGAGCAATTGCTCCTCTCAACTGTCCCTTGCCAGCCAGTCACCTGGGGGCTGCCTGTCACACTCCCAGACCAGCGCCCTCCTCCATGCCACCAGCATCTAGTACACATTTCTCTTAAGATGCTGGTGCTGCTTGATTTGAAAAAGAGATCAGCACGTGGAAAGCAAACCTGATGGCATCCACGGGTCCAGAGTCGGTCTGCCCAGGGTGTTCACCTGCTCCCAGCTGAAGTCGTTGTCCTCAGCTTGACTGTATCCACATGTGCTGTACGGCTCATCAAAGAGGCAACCACCTGCGTTGCGACACAAGATAAGGCGGTGTGAGCAACCTGAGGAACACTGGGACACGCTGTGACAGCCATGAAACGCTGACTGCCTGCTTGATGCCGGACTGAATCTGCTCTGACCCTGCAGCCCGGGAAGTGTGGGTCTGACGCTCGTGTACACAGCCACACTCAGAGTTCACAGGCACTCGTCAGGGCTGCATGGTGTCGCCCTCCAAAAGAAGTCACGTGGGCAGAAAACAGCCCGAGCAAATTTAACATTCAGTTTCTATATTTTTATGAATTCAGAAAGTCCATCTTGCTTTTAAAACTTCAACAGACCTTGCTTATGTATTCTGCATACTTTCAATAGGAAAAGTTATAATTTGTCTAAAAAATTAAAAGAGGGTCAGCCAGGTAACTCAGTGGATTAAAATGTCTGCTTAGGCAGATGCAGGGGCTGGGGGTTCAATCCCCGACCTGTGGTGCCGGCCCCACCCCCGGGGTACACTGAGACAGCACTTATACTGGGCGTGGTGGTGCGCGCCTGTAATCCCAGTGCTTGGGAGGCTGAAAACCAGGAAGGATCACCACAAATTCCATCTGTGTAGTGAGATCCTATAGACCCTGCACTAATACACAAAAATAAAATAAAATAAAAGAGCACCATTTTTACCACATTAGCACTACAGCGGTGGACAAGAAGCAGTAAACTATAAATGCAGCTTACAGAACATTCCAAAAACTCGGCTAAGTCTAACATAAAAACAGGCTTCACTACGGTAACTTGGAGATTTAGAGTCTCAAAATTAAGACAGTATAAATTTACTTTATAACCCATACACGTTTTAAAGGCAAAAATAGTTTCAATACTAAGCATGAGATAAACATCTGGTACTAAGAATGAAGCTTTTTAAATTAACAAGAAGTAGCAATGTAGTCTACCCACATGCATACAGCTGTTCCAGACCAGTACGGCACTTAGAACATCCACAGATGACTTTGCTTTCCACTGCCACCTTCTCTTCAGTGTCAGCTACTTAGAATTACTGGAGTATGAGATCTTTCCCAGTGTTGTCCATACAGAAAGTGAGTGATTACATTGATAAGATTAATGATTATGAAAATTCTACTGTGCATCATTCAGTGGATAAGAGACACTATATGGCCCATATATTATTATATAATGATTTATGCTGATTAAATATTCACCTGATTGATTCAAAATATAATTGTGGGACAGTGATAAGAATTAAGGATTTGGGCAAGAAAACATGAATTGAAGAACGCCATTGCGCTGTGTCCCTGGTGGAAGATGTGCGACTTGGAGGGAGAGCTCCTGCCTGGCTTACATGAAGCCCGAGCTTCAGGCTCCAGCACCACAGAAAAAGTGAAAGAGCGCTGTGCACCACCCGAGGAAAACAGACGGGGGCACGTGGCCCAGCTTCCCTCAAATCCTTCTCAACTCTGCTCTCCCAGTTGCTCAAGACAGAAGGCCCCGAGAAGTGGGGAAGTGCCACTTCTGTGTAGAAAAGTCTTCCTCAAAAGGCCCAAACTCTGCTTCTTGCGATGCATTCCCTTTCACCCTAGCTGCATCCTCAGAGGAAACAGTAAAACCCCCGCTCTTGCACCGGAAAGCTGATAATCTGGAAGGAGCTGTCAGGTCTGAAGTCTTCACTAGACTGGGCAAACACACACTGCTCCTCTCACTTCTGCCTAGGAGGTGGGCAGCCCGTCACCTATCATCGTGACAGGTGTTCTGAGCCCTGGTCCAAGAGGACGGCACCCTGCGCTGAGCTGAGCTGAGCAGAGCTGAGCTGAGCAGAGCTGAGCTGGAGACCTCTGGCTCTGCCCCCCACTGCTTCCAGTATGAGCAAACATTCCAAAATCCAGTCGAGCCAGAGGCCCAAAGCGTTCCTACTTCCACACACTTCCCAGGGGGACACTCAATCTGCTTGTGCCTCCAAGGTGCTCACAAAGGCTAACCGTCATGCAGTCACAGAGCCCTGGACTGTTTAAAAGGGTCTCTGCCAGCTTTCCTTGTCTCTGTTGGTAATGCCACACATGAAGGTAAAAGCAGTGCAATGTCTTCTGCAACACGTGGAATAGTTCTGGTATCAGCTGAACCTTCCCCTGGGAAAAGAAAACTCACTCTAAAGGTACAGCACTAAATGCAACATTTCACCTAGACAGCAATCACTCGCTTATATTCCCCACATCCTGACTTTTAGTAAGTTCAGAAGCAAAATCGATTCACTGAATAATGCTAACAACTTCCTAATGTGGGTCAGGAAATGCTGGGAGACTACACAAACATTTATGAGAAATATTTTCCCTTGGTTGCAAACCCTAATTTTGATATAGAGAATAGCTTTCGTGCTGAAGGAGTAAGTCTGAACAGCAGTAACCCTAATAACAGTCAAAAGAAATGAAATAATCATCAATTCTGACTGAAAAAGGGACCCAGTGGAAACACAGATAGCTCTGTGATGCAAGTCTTACAGCACAACCCTAAGCAGCAAGAAACAGCAGTGGGCGTGCTCAGATCGGCGAAGGCGCTCAGGATCCTGAAGCGCAGCTCCCGTGCGGAAAACTCCTCTTCAGAGCCCCAGACACTCCCTGGTCTGCAAAACGCCTGTTGGCACTGAAGGCTGAACCAAGGCGTGGCAAGTACGCGCAGGGCCCAGAGCAAGCAAGCCCTGAAGACCTGCGCAGGGCCGTGAGAGGACGGCTTCTCCCACCACATGCATCTGCTTTTATCACTTGGAAGGAAACATAAAACGTGTGGTATGGCTCTTCCGGGATCATGTACAATTATGGGCCCCTCTGAAAATGGGATCAACTAGGAATTTCCTCCTGTCGTGGGATGTCACCATCCCCCCCCCCACATACACAATGACCTTTAATGCTGGGATGTCACCATCCACCCCCCATACACACACACACACACACACACACACACACACACACAATGACTTTTAATGCTGGGACTTCTGAATTAGCACAGCCGGTTTATTTAGCTGAAATAAGATGAGATTAAAGGGGACCACAACCAATTGAAATAGCACTTAAAGAGAAAACAATTAAGATTCTGGTTTCCAAGGTAGTTTCATGCAGCTCTAATGTATTCATGTTCCAGAGTCACACATCCCCAGCTATTTTTCTGAAAACTTCAGAGCTCGAGAACAGGTTTCAGAAAGTCCCCTGATAGGACAGCAACTGTGCTGTAAAGCAATGCCAAGTCTCACTGGAGTTTAGCCACCTTGGAATTTTCTAGGGCTGGTACGTGGTAGGCACTCAATAAATGCTTCTGAAAGGAACAGGAAAATGAATTCCTCCAAATTCTATGTGGAATTTGGCTGCAAATGTGCCTGGAAAAATTTTAAAGGAAATGCAATGGAATGCCAGCTAAACATGGAGACAACCTTCACACAGGCCCACAAAGCACCCCGCTGGGTTCTGGTGGGTCCCAAGACAAGACCGCCATAAATGTGGCCTAACTGCCAGAACACGTTCACTTTGAATCGCAGTTGAAAACTACGAGCCATTTAAATGGTAATGAAGCCTCTACAAAGTATGGCTTTCACAATCTTTTTCTTTATCCTGGCAATAATTATACAGCAAGGTTAGTTGTGGTCTATAAAGGCTACTCCAGGTTTATGAAAATAAAATAACGTTGATCATATGCTGGAGGAAATTTATCCTTCTATTTTCTTTGGAATAGCAGAAATGATTCATATAATCAAGAATAATGTGGAAAGCCAGGAGTAGTGTCACCCTGTCATTCCAGCACTGGGGAGCCGGAGGCAGGAGAATGGTTTCAAGTTTGAGATCGTTGTGGGCTACAAGGTGAGCTCAAGGTCAGCCTAAACTGCATAGCAAGACCCTATCTCAAAAAGACTTCTAAAAAGAATAATATGAAAGTACTTAGGTATAAAGAAAATGACAGGGGCCGGGGAGATGGCTCAGTGGAATAAGCGCTTCCCTGGCAAGAGCAAGGGCCTGAGTTCAATCCCCGGTTCCGAAAAAAAAAGAAAAGAAAATGACAAACTTAGACCCAAAAGGAAACCTACAAGATTTTTCATAGGAGTATTTTGTGCCCTTTTGAAACTCAGGTGTAGAGTGATGGCAAAGGAAAATGGAGTGACGAGAGATAGAGCCTTCCACTTAAGAATCCTAACAATTTGCTTCCACTGACCTCTGGTCAAGCCATCTTGACCACATCTGCGCACTTTATACAAACCAAGTATGTCTGTACTGAGCTGTATGAATACTTTTCATTCTGTTCTACTTGGCTTTGAAAAAGGTAACTCCATGCCCACTAATTTGGCTTCACGAACCCTCACAAGTTGCCCCTGGAGTTTCTGTGGTTCATGGTGAGAACCACTACTTAGACTTGTGTGCGCAGTCTGAGTTGTTAATCAGCACTAAATATGCACACACACTGCTCAGGAAGAGACACACCAACCTGAGATCTCCAATAGCAGGCCCCAATCTCTTAGGCACCAGGGACTACTTTGATGGAAGACAGTTCTTCCGTGGGAGTTTGGTCTTGGGCTCTTTCAAGTGTATCATATTTAATGTACACTTAAGTGTGAATGAAACTGATAAAATACAGCTTTTTTTTTTTTTTTTGGCGGAACTGGGGATTGAACTCAGATCCTTGAGTTTGCCAGCCAAGCGCTTATCCTACTGAGCCATCTCCCTGGCCCCGAAACTGATAAAATAGTAAGTGTCCATCCACAGACTAAAATAAGTGTTCAGCCACCAGATGCAGCTTAACTGTCCTTTGCCTCTCACTGGTAAGTTTCCATACCAAGCCTACAGGAAGTTGATTTACAACAGTTTCTGCACAGCCAGACCTCTCTGCTGTGTTAATTTATATACACAGCTGTTCCCCAGCTCTAGCACCACTCTCTCAGCTCCACCTCAGATCATCAGGCATTAGAGTCTCATGTGGAACCCTCAACCTAGAACCCTGCACGTGCAGATCACAGGAGGGTTTGCACTCCTATGAGTATTGAATCTTT